AAACAGGCAAATTCCGTCATTCTATAATAATTTACAGTAACAGTTGCGTCATTTTGTTAACTTATATTTAAACTAGCGTAATTGTAATATATTATAATGGTGAAATGAGAATTGCATGTGACTTAGCGCATATACTATACAGGGTGAGTTACCAAGCCCGTGGTGGTCCATATCTCCTATACTAACGAAGATCGAAGCAAAAACAGATTGCAAATTCTTATCCTAGATTACCATTAGTTATCATTTGATACCAACCTTGAATTTAACCGGAGATTAATAATATAAGCGGAATTTTTTATCATGGATTAAATTCAAAGTTGGTGTCAAATGATGGTTTATAAAAACTAAGAGAAGAATATATGATCGGTTTTGCTGTAAAATTAATTGTTCAGGTTTTACAGTCTGTCAAAGATGCAAAAAAGTCAATTTTCAACTGTCAATATTTCCGAAACAGTTGAAGATAGATAGCTATATGACATTGTACATGAAGTATATCTAGAATTTTCCACAAAATCCAGAAATGTCATAATATACAGAGGGCGTCATTTAAAAAAAACATAACTTTGCGTCTCTACTACTTATTGGGCCACCCTGTATACTGGAAAATAATTTGGGAATGTAGTACTCATGTTCATCTACAAGTTTTGCCGATGATCATAATCAGCCAAGGCTGTTTTTTGCAGTTATCGGCAGTGTTTCGTTTTCTCCTGCGGGCCGATCCTCGAGCCAGGGAGTGGAGCTCCCCGAGAGAACAAAATTTTCGTCCTTATCATTCTCGTTTACTTTTCGATTACGTTGACAAGGACAAAACATTCGTTCTATCGGGGAGCTCTACTCCCTGGCCCGAGGATCGGCCACCTCGGCCGGCGGATAAATAACGGCCTGTGGTCAATATACCTTTTCGATTTCAATTTCGCTCATATTATAGTAAGATAACAGATAACAGTACCTACAGTATGACGAAAAAAAAATGTATTAATTCATTTGATTAGAACATTATTATTAATGGTGTCAACTAGTAAAATAATAGAATCACTATGTACGTGAAAAACCGTAATTAATAGAATATTCTTGATCATCAATCAGCAGTTTAAGTTTGTCAATCGATTTAAATGTTTATCCCAGGGAGCTTTTAACGGCCTTGCTCTCAGTGGTTGTTACCTTAGGTTGTTACTTACGACACTTGTATATTAGGAAAGAGTCCTACGAGAGCCCTCTACCTACGAACCAATGTGGCGTATTTACCTAGGGCCTGTTTGGTAAGGGCATGTAGCTAGAAGATAGGAGCCCATTTTATGCTAAGTTTTTTCTACATAGGTTTTTTTTTTTAATTGATCATCAGTATACCCAAACACTTGTCACTAGGAATAAGGCCCTACATAACAATAGATTAATCAATTCTAGCAAAATAATGCCTATAATTATAGGGTTGTTTACAAATACTTAATAATAGACATGAAGATGCATATATTTTCCGGGATTTTAGGTCGTATATGGTCCAATGGAAATATGTCTCGTCAGTCTCGTCTACAACTGCAATGCCCTTTCTGATAGTTCAGGATTTACCATTTTCTCCATTTTTTATCCTGAATGTTCGGACGCATAGTTCTTTTTTTTATTCAAGAATTGCGTAGCAACCAATAATAAAAATAAGTCAAAACATTTAATTCTGACAACGTAATTATTTAATATAATATTTAATATATATATACGTAATATTTAAGTTCAAAACAAATAATATCATATAATCAGATAATTATATTTATTACTATAGAACTGTTTGTGCTAGTCGGTATAGTTTAAACTATAAACTTAAGGGACAAGTAGGGCATAAACAAGGTGAGAGCATTATCAATTTAAAAAAATAATAATATTCTTTATCGCTAATATTTTGTACCTAGCAAAAATGGTGCGCTGTTACATTTGCAACTGCAATGGTCAGAGACATAGAAAACTACTTGGAAATCATGAAGAACAAAGACGAAGAGCACTTGCGATGATATTCAGGCCTAGGTACAACTTACCAGATCTCGTTATAGATGAGAACACTAGAGTTTGTTTAAATTGTTTCCAAAGAACAAGTAAATGCCTTGAGCTAGAAAATAATCCATCAGCTATTTCTATGCAGGTGGTAGTGGGCAATAGGGGCTGTTGTTTTATATGCAATAACAATACTTGGTTTAGACTGTCACTTGAAGCTAGGGTTGATTTTTTCGCTAAAACGAACAATTTTATTCCTGACTATATGGTGCAAGTTCAGTACATGGAAAATATTATTTCATTGCCCATGAAGGTATTATTGACAGGCGAGGAAGTTCACCAATGATTTATTGCTTTGAAAAATTATGAAAATAATGGATATGATGACGAAGAACGTTTTGATGAAGATGAATTTCAGAATCTTACGTCCCTCACTAAGCAGCAATTTACAGAAGTTTTTCAGAGCTGCCAACCTGTTTTAATATATGGTAAAAATCGAGTGCCATCAAAAAAAGATATTATTACCTTTGTCGTGAAAATGAGGAAAGGCTTATCGGATGATTTCATTAAATTAATAATAAACTACTCATCACGGCAAGCTGTAAGCCTAAGTGTCACAATTGCCAGAGAAACTCTAGTCAGACATTTTGCACCAACACATATTGGCTTTCGATGTGGAGAGGTGCAAAATCGGCTTCGGTTTATAGAGCGCCACGTAACGAGTTTTGCAAATAAACTGTATAATCCAATACCAGAAGAAGCAAAAGCTATTCTATACCCGGACTGCACATATTTAAAGGCGCAGAAAGGTAGCAATTTTCGAGCACAAAGGCAATCTTTTTCTTCTCACAAGAGATATACACTATTTAAGGCTGGGTTGATTGTAGCTCCGGATGGTTTTATTGTAGATGTACATGGACCTTACTTTTCTGACACACGAAATAATGATGCAGCAATTATTGAAAACGAAATGCAAAACGATGGTCACAATATAAAGGAATGGATACAAGATGGGTATATATTTGTAGTGGATAGGGGTTATCGGGACGTAGTGAATTTTCTTGAAAACCTCAACCTGAATGTCGAAATACCACCTTTCTTTCCTAGAAATAGACGACAGTTCACCACAGAAGAGGCAAATAATTCTAGAAAAATTACGAAAACAAGGTGGATTGTCGAATCCGGAAATGGCCATTTGAAATCAATTTTCAAATTTTTTCGGGAGACTATACCAATGCAACACTGCATCCATTTATCAGATTACCTAAAAATAGGACGTTCGCTAATTAACGCGTATAGAGAACCAATTCACATGCAAGATGCCAATGACGAGTTGGCTCAAAGAATGTTAGAACTTGTAGAAAATGTTGACAATCCACTCCAAACAAGAATTCAAATCGAAAACCTTCAGTTAAGACGTGGTGGCCCATGGGCGAATTTAGAGAATAATGATATTCAGTTTCCTATTTTAACTTTAGACTATCTCCAAACAAAATCATTCGGGACTTACCAAGTTAAATTAGCACCTCCCTATATACAGGATACTTCAGAGCGACAAAATAATAATGAATATCTTTTTCAAGTTCAAGAATTCGAACCTGGATTAATAAGGGCAAAAGTGTTTTCCAGATTTACACAAATCATCAAACATTTTCAGTTTATTCAATTTTCACTACCACCTGCAATAAACGATGGTGAAGATCCGATTCAGGGCACGTACTGTACTTGTAAAGTAGGAGCTAGAACTTTAGGGATGTGTGCTCATACTTCAAGTATTTTATGGTATTTAGGCTATGCGCGATATGTTGATAATATTAAATATCCTTCAAATACATTATTGAGGTGCATTAACGATGCAGCAAATCGCAATGATGGTAATTAATTTTAAAATTTTGTGATATTGTATGTTGAATGTATATATTTTATATTTTGTTTCCTATTTTATCTTTATTAATTGATGAACACAAAACTGGAGCTTTCACGTACCGGGTGATTGTCTATATTTTGCACCCACAGCTATCTTACCTGTTTGAAGAGATACCCAGAAATGTCAAATGTGAAAGTTGTAGGTAATATCAGAAAGTTTTCAATGATATTAGTTACAAGGTGTATCACAAAAGTGCGTGTCAAAGCAAAGTTCTACTTTTTTAAATGGAAAACCCCGCATAATATTATCCCATTGGATAAGCCTTTCAAACCTGATTAACCTGATTCCAAGTATACTAGGTTTTTTAGGTTTATTCCTCATAGTCCGGCCTCTGAATATCCCATTTTGAAAAAATAATATAGATTTTTCACATGAACGATTATCTTTATATTTTGCTGGTGGTCGCTAGGTATACTTTACCTTTCTCAATAAAAATGCAATTATTCCACTCCTCTTTGTCCTATTTTCTCCTGGACTATTAAGAATAAGCCTAAAAAACCTAGTATATTTGGAATCAGGTTTGAAATGCTAATCCAATAGGACAATAATATACGGGGTTCTTCATTTAAAAAATTATAACTTTACTTCGCCACACTTTTGTGACACACCCTGTATACTTGTAACTAACATCATTGAAAATCTACTGATATTACCTACAACTTTCACATTTGATATTTCTGGGTATCTCTTCAAACGGATGAGATAGGTGTGGGTGCAAAATATAGACAATCACCCGGTACAACTATAACATGTTTCCATTCTTGTTTCAACATTATAAATCGTTACAATTACGCTAGTTCAAATATAAATTAAAAAAATTACGCTGACGAAACTGTTATACATACTGTAAGTTATTATTGAAATGACGGAATTTGTCTGTTTTGCGCTTAACTTCTAAGTCATTTTTCGGGGTCACCTTATATACTTAGAGAATTGGCGCAATGACAAAAAATGCTTATTTTGATAAGCTCTATAACATACCAAAATTTGAAAAAAATCGACCGGTCGCAGAAATCCCAAATAAGGTGTGCGGGGTCCTTTCATTGATTAATTAATAGCAGCAAGTTATCTATCCATCATCAACTTCACTTACTTGCTTTATCGTCGGTGTCCATAATCTCGAAGTGGTACTGGCTTGTCTGCAAACCCTCAAAGTTACAGGTCTCAGCGCGGCCAATTGTCCAGGAATCTTGTAGAACCCTACCCCGTTGAAGCCCTGGTTCAAGAACCGGGGGCTGACGGCAAAAACTTTTCTACTGATCATGATGTTGCCTTTCAGATGGCATTACACAAACTAAACTGATTAATTCATGAACTAGAATCAGTTATCAGGCCGAACGATTAAATTGATGGTTTTGAAGAAGGAGGATCCGTATTTATTGATAAGGCTTTTGATTACATTGTGTTTTGATTTCGAAGCGAACTATGGACGCTGTTGAAAAGATTCTTGTTTACGTCATTAGTGTGTTATCGTTATTAACAAAGAAGAAAAGTAATTAGGTAATATGTTTACCTATTTTGGTTACTTTGATGGGTATTTACTTTGGTTTAATCTTTTTGTTTGTGTAGGATAAGGGTAGGTATCCAGGTAAAAATTTTAAACCAAAATATTCCATCAAAAACAATCACATTATACTTAAGAAAAACATTATTTTCTTGCGAGGAACAAGGGTATTGTACAGGGTGGCCCATTTTCAATGTTTTAATGAGCTATATCGAAAACCAGCAGAGATATCAAAAATCTGAAAGCCGATTCTCAAGCTCTTTTTTTGAGAAAATAACAATGGCGTCAATGGCGAAGACAAATCACGACTAACTTGATGCGTTTAGGAAATACAGGGCACTTTTCAAATTTTGTCCAATTTCAAAACACCTTCTAATTTCTTTATTAATCAAGATATCCAAAAACTAAAAATACTTTCTAGAGCAGTGGTTCCCAAACTTTTTTCTTTTGCGCCCCCTTTCTGAAATCAACAAGTGGTCGCGCCCCCCTTTCTTCCCCCATTGTACAAAAACCTTTTTTTTTCACTTACTGTAACTCGTCTGAACTGGACTTTGGAAAAGGAAAAATGGATATGACAGTGCGCTGTAGCAATTACTGTATTCCTTTTATACACCGAACGTGTCGCTCTAAAGCTCCTCGGAGTTACTCCAAAATACACGATTCAGAATAATTCAGATATTATCATTATACTTTAATATTAACATTAGGTACCTAAAAAAGCTTCTTGCACCCCCCGCAAATTTGGTGCATCAGGGGAAAGGGGCACTATGAGCGACTCGAGTGCTTTCACGCACTTTTAAAAGGAACGTTCACGCTTTTGACACTAAGCAGCTCCGAGTAACCCAACTGGTAAAAAGAATACAGTAACAGATCGCATGGCAAAGCTGCTTTGGCTTATGTATGCGCTGTTGCAGGATTGTAGACATCTTTTTTTAAATTCTAACTGATTTTTTATTTTTAAGCTTAAACTTTGTATTTATTGTTTAGAAGACTTACGCCCCCCTCAATGTTGCTTCACGCCCCCCTAGGGGGGCGCGCCCCCCAGTTTGGGAACCACTGTTCTAGAGGCAGTTTTTCAAGTAGAATCCAGTGGCATAACCAATTTTTTTTTCCGGATGCCAAAAATTTTGGAATATTAATCAAAGTTATGTTTTTTTAAATGGAACACCCTGTATATTATTTTCTCATTACATAGCTTTTTTTGAGCAGATTTCAATGATATAGGTTTTATAGCTTTATCTTCAATAGTTTTCGAGAAAAAAAGTAAATTCCTTTTCTCCATAAGAAACAATGAGCTAGAAAGAGATGAGTCATCAAATAAGTTGTGTTGCTTATTCATCACCCCCAATTCATAGTTCAGATTCAAAAAAAAATTTAACTTAACAAGAATATTGAATTAAGAACTAAGAATTTTGTAGCCGATCCATAGTTCAACTATCTCTTTCTAAGACATTGTTTCTTATGGAGAAACGCAATTTATTAGTTTTCTCAAAAACTTTTGAATATAATGCTATAAAACCTTATATTATTGAAATCAGCTCAAAAAGGACTATGCAATGAAAAAGTAATATACCTACATTTGAAAAAACAAAACTTTGGTTAATATTCCAAAATCGGTGGCATCTAAAAAAAAATTGGTCATACCACTTGATTCTACGTGAAAACTGCCTACAGAAAGTATTTTTGGTTTTTGGATATCTTGATTAATAAAGAAATTAGAAGCTTTATTGAAATTGGACAAAATTTGAAAAGTGCCCTGTATTTCCTAAACGGATGAAGTTAATCGTGACTTGTCTTCGCCATTGCTATTTTCTCAAAAAAAGAGCTTGAGAATGTGCTCCCAGACTTTTGATATCTCTGCTGGTTTTCGATATAGCCTATTAAAACATCGAAAATGGGCCACCCTGTACAGGGTGGGCCAATTTGGACACTTTCTTATGGAAACACCCTTTCTTTTTAGAGATAGAGAAAAATGAACCCCCCACTCTGAGGCTCAAATTTCATGAAATTTTGATTGGTGTAAACCGCATTTTGATATCTTCAACCTTTTAGCCGCTAGAGGGCGATTCTCGATTTTGAGCAATATTGTAAAACCTTCATAACTTTTTTGTTTATGAAAATAATTGATTTCCGTAAAAACTTTCTGGAAGCACTTTTTTAAGCAGAATTCAGTGACGTTCTCAGCTTTTTTCTATTTGGCGCCGATTTTGAGATATTGACCAAAGACTGATTTTTTTCAATTTATATTAATAGCTCATTGAAAAGGTATGATTATTCTGATTTTATTGGTATAAAGTTCGATAGGTTTATGTCTAACCGTTTTCGAGAAAAAAAATTATTTCGGTTTTTCTCATAAGAAGCAATGTGTTAGAAAAGGATTTTATATCTGTGGAAAATGAAAAAGGTCTCTTTCTAACATATTGTTTCTTATGACAAAAACCAAAATAATTTTTTTCTCAAAAACTATTCGAGATAAACCTATCGAACTTTATATCAGTAAAATCAGAAAAATCATAGCTTTTGAATGAGCTAATAATATAAAGGGTGTCCTATTGAAAAAAATCAGACTTTGGTCAATATCTCAAAATCGGCGCCAAATAGAAAAAACTGAGAACGTCACTGAATTCTGCTTGGAAAAGTGCTTCTAGAAAGTTTTTACGGATATCAATTATTTTCATAAACAAAAAAGTTATGAAGGATTTAGAATATTGCTCAAAATCGAGAATCGCCCTCTAGCGGCTAAACGGTTGAAGATATCAAAATGCGGTTTGCACCAATCAAAATTTCATGAAATTTGAGCCTCAGAGTGGTGAGTTCATTTTTTTCTATCTCTAAAAATAAAGGGTGTTTCCATAAGAAAGTGTCCAAATTGGCTCACCCTGTACAGTGGCGTATCCAGGGGGGACAAAGGGGGCAATTGCCCCTCCCAAAACAACAATTTTTTATTCCTTTTATTTCTTGAAAATATATCAGATAATAAGAAATAAATTCAAAAATGTAATAAAATTAATTTAATTAATAATACTTTTTCCAACTACCCTCTAACAGGTAGCTTTTTTGTTGTTCTAACATACAAAAATTGTTTTTTTCTTTGCTCATACATATAAATATTACATTATAGTCCAAGAGCCGGCAATACTAATAGTCCGGGGGCCGAGGACCTTTTTTCCAAATCATTAATAACAAGCTAATTTTTTCAATGCAGCTTCATTTCACCGAGACGCCCAACTTTTTTCTCGTGAAAATTGCGAAAACAGCTAGCTAACATACTGCGCAGGTGTAAAACAAAATAAAGGGTTTGGTCTACTATGTCCCCCCCTCAAACATGTAGCAATTACGTTGCATATCAAATGATTAATAACAAGTTGATTTTTTCAATGTAGGTTGGTAATAGTATATTACATACCGAGGTGGAAAGTGTTTCATTACTGTCGAGAGATTTTGGTTAGACCGAGGCACAGCCGAGGTCTAACTAAAATCTCGAGACAGTAATGAAACTTTTCACCGTGGTATGTATACTATTTTATTTACAATCATTCGAATTTTGAAATTTTTATTTGAATTAATACTAACAAATACAATAATTGACAATTTCATTTACTTTCGGCCCACGGGTCGAAAGTTTACTTCCGACCCGTGGGCCGAAAGTAAAAGTCAAAAAATACAATGAATTTTAAAAATTTCATTTACTTTCGGCACACGGGTCGAAAGTAAACTTTCGACCCGTGGGCCGAAAGTAAAAGTCAAAAAAGTGACATTTTCGAACTTTTTAAAAGTCAGTAAAGTCAACATTACATGTATGATTGTAAATAATAGTATATTACATACCGAGTAGGGAAGTGTTTCATTACTGTCGAGAGATTTATATAGTCAATCGAGACGCGAAGCGTCGAGATTGACTATTAATCTCGAGACAGAAATGAAAACTTTCCTCCGAGGTTTGTATACTATTTTATTTGCAAGCACTCCATTAATTATGATTAATCAATAAATTTTTTTAATATCAAAAAAATAAAACAAACATGCCAAAATGTGTCATTCACTGCTTTGACGTTTTTACCTGACATGTTCTCATTGTTGCCAGCAAAGGTAAATAAATTAGAGTGAGGGAAGTCGAATAGGGAAATCGGTGAGGGGAATCGAAGAGGGAAGTGACACAAGTAAAGTGTCACTTCCAAATTTTTAAAAAGTCAGTAATGACAAGATTCCATGTATGATTGCAAATAAATATTATTACAATTAAATGGTTACACTGTCCTACAAATAAACAGGTAGCTATTTTCAGTCCCACACTCAAAAGTTGTCAATTTCACAATTTAATTTTTTTCATTAATAACCAGCTAAATATTCGTGAGCATCTTCATCAGACGCCCAAGTTTTCTTTTGCGAAAATTCCAAAAACAGGTAGCTAACAGAGTGCGCAGGTGAAAAACATGTCTATTTGGTGATCATACAAATGTAAACAATAACAGTTAATTTTGTAGCTAAATGTTGAGATAGTTTCATAAATAATATGAAACGACATTTTTGTCCGACAAAATAAATGGTTTGATCTAGGCTATTTTCGAAATTCTCGAATGTAGGGCTGAGAAATTTTACCTCTTTAGGACAATGTGACCATTCAATTGTAGTTATATTTACCAAAATACAGTAAAAAAATCAACTGGTTATAAATCGTTTTTTATGAGCCAGTAATTGCTACATTTTTTGAGAAAGGGGACACTGCAGACCAAACCATTTATTTTGTGGCTCAAATCGAATTTCGAATTATTTATAAAATTATCTCATTATTCACCTGAAAAATTAACTGTTAACTGTTAATAATTACATCTGCTCACAAGATGCTCGAGAAGATTTAGCCGGTGATTGATTAATAAAGTATTACCGTAAAGTCGACAACTTTTGAGTGTAGGACTGGAGAAATGTACCTCTTTATTTGTAGGACAGTGTAACCATTTAATTGTAGTAATATTTACTAGGCTACATTAAAAAA